CCCGCCGGGGCCTGTCCATGGAAAGCCACACACTAATGCTGCCCCCTCTCCACAGTTACATTCTCCTCTCCAACTGACATCACCCTCCTCCTTGATGGCTCAGCCAGTGTGGGCAGCCACAACTTTGACATCACCAAGCGCTTTGCCAAGCGCCTAGCTGAGCGCTTCCTCACAGCGAGCAGGACGGACCCATCCCACGATGTACAGGTGGCCGTGGTGGAATACAGCGGCACTGGCCAGCAGAGGCCGGCGCGGGGAGCACTGCAGTTCCTGCAGAACTACACAGTGCTGGCCAGCACCATTGATGGCTTGGACTTCTTCAATGATGCCACCGATGTCATTGATGCCCTGAGCTATGTGACCCGCTTCTACCGTGGGGCCTCGCCAGGTGCAGCCAAGAAGAAAGTACTGCTCTTCTCCGACGGCAACTCACAGGGTGCCACGGCGGCAGCCATTGAGAAAGCAGTGCAGGAGGCACAGCGCGCAGGCATCGAGGTCTTCATGGTGGTGGTGGGCACCCAGGTGAACGAGCCCCACATCCGTGTCCTGGTCACCGGCAAGACAGCTGAGTACGATGTGGCCTATGGTGAGAGCCACCTGTTCCGAGTGCCCAGCTACCAGGCCCTGCTTCAGGGCGTGCTGTACCAGACCGTGTCCAGAAAAGTGGCACTGGGCTAGCCTGGCTGCACACGCACACCACAAGACCAACCCAGCCACACCGGACCCATCATCAGAACAGACAGCAAAACGTGACCTGCATTTTTTTGACCAGCCCAATTAGCCAGATTCTCTTTAAGGAGAATCTTGAGAAGCCACAATGCGATGCTGTGAGCTCTGCAGGGTCCCCGCCCAGCCGGTTCATCCAGCCTTCCTCTCATGCTGCATCCTCCCAGCTTCTCGGTGCGCCGCCAGCCCACTCATCGCAGAACACCTCTCTTTCTCCCGTCCTCTCCTCCCCGTGGCCCCGTAGCTTGCTTTTCTTGCTAATCCTAAGAGTCCTTCTCTGACATTTTATCTACACTTAAAATCAAAGCAAAGTCTACAAGTTAGTTCACAGGAAGTGTTGGACAATATGTTGTTTTTTTTTTATAAAGCTAAGGCCAACAGGATTTTTAAACATAAACCTTGATGAATGAATTCTTTATAAGAGTCTCATCAGGAACCAATCCTGGACCTAGGTTCCCAAACCCTCAGGGGCCTCACAGCTCAGGGTGAGCAGAAACTGGGTGTTGCTGACACAGGCTGACCAACATCTTCAAAGAACAGTAGACAACAGTTGACGCATCACCCTTCTGTTCATCAGACCCCAAGAGTGAAGGTGCTATCCCAGCCAAGGGACCCCTCCTCCACACTCGCACAGAGACCTGGGCCTAGACTGGACACCCAGGTCACCTCGTGGCACAAAGCCATGTGTTCTGAGCTCTTGTCCTCAGAATGGTGATTTTTTCTACATCGTACTAAGATCCTCTTTATATGTTCGTTATAGTTTTACTCCTTCCTGAGTTTTTTTAAACCATGTCCATTAAGGACTTTTCCAAATAAAGCTCTCACCCTTCTCTCTGTGGCTGTCTTTCTGAGGAGCTGATTCTGCACATCTTGGATGGGCATTGTGCACCCACATGCCCTGTGTCTTGGAGGGAGACATCAGGGACAGGGCGCCTGTGTTGGACAGGGAAGGTCTGGGTAGGACCCTGACAGAATCAGGAGCTACAGAATCAGGACCACCTGAGATCTCATGGACTGGACAGGTCAGATCCAGCAAGATTGAAACTCAAAGGGGAACCACAGATGGCGTAATGGCTAGGTCACTGGACTCCCATGTAGTCAGCTGCGGTTCAAGTCCTGGACCTTCCAGCTTAAAACTCATGCTGGGCACATGTGCATGCATGCCCAGGATCCCAAGAGGGAAATGGAGGAGAAGGGATTGCAGCATGGCCATCTCCCTGGGAGGTGACTTCTCTCTTTCTTCTCTCTGTCCCTCCAGCTAGCCCACAAGCCCTATAGCAAAAATCTCTCTTAAAAAACAAAAACAAAAAAAACCTCAGAGGGGCCAGAGTGAGGCCTTGTATTCTGGTGCTAAGATAAATAAATAATAAACAAACAAACAAACACGCGTTCTGGGAGAGGAATCAGGATCCTGTGAGCGGATGCCCTGGGAAGTCAGTTCGGTGCAGGCAATAGTATGGCAGCCCACCAACAAGGCCAAGCTTCAGCCCATCTTCAAGAGCTGGCCTCTGGCCTCCAGAGGACTGCACAGGGCAGTGAAGGTAAAAGGAAGAAACCCAAAGCCATTCGAATTCAGGAATCATGAGTGTCCAGTTGCCTCTCGCAGGCCTGTTAGGGAAGAAGAAAGGATACAGGATCCACATAGGCTAGAAGGCCCCCGGGGAGAGTGGGACACAGTAAAGGGTGCAGGACAATGCAAGTTAAGCCACAATGAACTGCCTGTACGTGCCCTCCTGGATGGCTGAAATGAGACTGATGACACCAACAAGCAGGAGGATTGGAGCAACCAGAACCCTCAGGTGTTGCCGGTGGGACAACCACAGCAGAATCCCTCCAGCAGTTTCTAAAGTCCAAATGACTCCCCCACTCACTGCTGATCACCTGCCAAGAGCAATGAAAAACTGAACACATGACCACAGATTCCTTCTGGAATGTTCTTGACAACTTTATTTACAAGGATCAAAAATTGTTTGTAACCCCAACAACCATCAGCAGGAGACAGACAAACTGACCACTAGGCAGCAACAAGGAGTGAGCAACAGACGAGCCACATGGACAAGTATTGGTGCCAGGTGCCTGCTCACAGGGCGCTGAGAGTTAGGTGGTTGTCTCTAGTGGGGAATGGCTGGACAGGAATGGGGTCCTCCTGGAAGTGGGTGATGAGAGTGCACACTTCAAGATTCCTGAGCTGCACACATGAACTCGTACCTCTCCTTGTATGAACACTTGATCTTAAAAACAAAACAAAACAAAACAAAACAGGAACAACCACTGCTGCTGCTCTTCCATCTAACACCCCAGACCTGTGCCTCCCAGCACACCGCGCAGCCTCCAGGGCAGCTGCCCTGGGAGCTCCCCTCCCCTGTGCTCTGTGAGTGCAGCCACTGTCACCCCTTTCCTAGGAAGAG